ATCTAGCATTCAGGCCCGACCAAACAACCAACATACTACGCTGGCTTTTGCCCGATAGCACAACCCACTCACACCTTCACTCATACAGTGCAACAAGCGGACAGCATGACAGCACCACAAGCAATGATTCATTGGCCTTCGGGGAGTCAGAGGAAGCGAACCTCTGCCCTCCGTTCCGTTTCCCACCGAGAAGCCTCGGCCTGGACAGGCAACCCCCAAACAGCAGGCAACCATGAAGTCCGGCCTGGTCCCGCGCCTTCGCCTGCAAGTAGGGCCGTGGTTCGGCGACTCCTATCGAGTGAAGTCAGTGAAGTCGTCACTGCAACTATCTCTCTGAAAGCTGTGTCGGGCATAATGCCACAGAAGACAGTCTAAGACAGCGAAGCAGAACGGAGAACTGGGCCGCGAGGAACTTCAACTTGAGAGCATCGGCCGCTGTTGCACGCAAAAGCTCCGACAAGCAGCCCTCCCACACACCGCGGACACGGAGCTGCGTACTTCTAGCAACTTCTCAAACCCCTGCATCGTGCATGTGCCCCTCACTGCCTGGGCTGGAGCATCACCATGAAGCCTCGGCCTGAACGACAACAGCAAGCAGGTTTCGCGTCGGCGCCGGCCTCATGTGGAAGCCAACCCAATCCGGACCTACTTTTTGGTTGCCTGCTTCTGCGTGGGGCCTGCAGGTGTCAAAAAACTCCAAAGCATTCAGTTTCGTTGCAAGCAACATGTACTGCAAAGCGCGGCTTTAGATTTTCAGAGTTCTTTACTACTCTTTATCGTCTGTTTCACGCCGCTTTGCGGGGCTTCCACGGGCTGCCCCCCCCCCCCCCCCTCCCGGGTTGCTGCTGTGACCGTTGGCTGGAGGTGCGGGTCCGACCCCGACGGTCCAAGCTGCGGAGGCCGTTGCTTTGCATTGTTCAGCATGCTCTGCTCAGAGCCTGTGCCATGCGCTTGCGTCGCGCTGCTGGGCAGACGAGTCCCTTGCTCTGTGGCTTATTCAGTCGCCCGCGGTCTCTCTTCGTGCATGCCGTGCATGTCGCCCGCTGAACAATATGTGGGCTGGACGCTGGCATCCAGTAGCTGTTCTTTTGTCCCGTTTTGATGCAAGCCGTGCAAACCCTCTGTGAACCCATATCTCAGATGCTGACCTTCTTTGTTGCTGCCGGCAAGCGCACGGAACAGGGTCTTGCACCCTCCAGGGTCTGATTGCAATGTCTGCGCAAATGTTATCTCATTCCATGCAAGCGCCTGCAGATGAGAGCGCGCCGCTTTGGCTTTTTTTTTTGGCGGCCTTCTGCGCTGCCTTGTAGCAATCCCACCCTTGCCCGTGGCACGAATCCTTGCCCTTGCTCAAAGCCTTCAGAAGCCTTTAAGAAGCTGGCTCTCTGCTTCGCTTCAGCCTGCAGCCCGTAGCCCGCAGAAAGCAAGGCAGCTCCGTGCCGAAGACCGATGCCACAAAGCTTTTGCCTCCTCGCGCATCTTTGTCGCCTTCGCCCAAGCCTCCCGGGCCTGGGCCTGCGCCAGTCTCGCCTGCAAGTAGGGCCGATGTTTGGCGGCTCCTATCGAATGAAGTCGTACCAAGGCCCGGGCAATCGCTGCAATTATCTCTCTGAAAGCCGTGTCGGGAACAATGCCACAGAAGACAGTGAAGCAGGACTGAGAACCGGGCCTCTTCGAGCAACTTGGGTTGAGCGCCAAGCTGCGCTACGCCCTGCCACACACCGCGGACACTGAGCTGCGTACTTCTAGCATCTTCTGAAACTTAAACCACCCTATAAATGATAAACCATAAACCCCAGCATCGGCAACGTGCAGGATGCATCCAGCACTGCCTCTGCATGAGCCTCGAGCTTTCGATACTTTTTCGCCGCAGCTTGCTCCTCCCCAGGACCCTAAGGATTATTCCGGAAACTATACCAGAGAGCCTGAATACGAAGTGGGGTAGATTCCTTATTTCACGGCTTTGGAAGATTGGGTAATCTTTACCCCTCAGGACATGCAAGGCCTCAGGGGTCAGAGTGGAAAGTGATCACATTCCTTTGTATCCGCATATGCCGCTTTCCCCTTTGGCTTGGTCAAGCATGTGTTTCAATGACCAGCCGAATCCACCAGCACTTGATGATTGTGTTCCAAAATAAGTCGCCATCCTGAAGGCGTGAAGTGCATGACATGTACCCATAGCATGGGGGACACGGCTAGCACTCTGCAGCCTTAGGCTTGCTCCTGGCCAAAATGAAAGAACTCAACCACCGCCATCTCCAAAACCACTTATCCAACTTGACCCTGCTTCAATATTCTGTCGAGGAAGTGTGGGTCAAAGATGGCCAAATGTGCCTCTTTGCGCTCATGGGCCACGACCTTCTTGTGATTCTTTACCTGGAAAGAGCGTTGGTTGCGCAACCGTCGCGAGCAAGCTCTTCTACACCCACCACCCCCACCCGTGCCACCCCAACCCAGGACCTTCCAAAACAACTTTGCGACGGCGTCCCTGAGGGCCCTGGGCTAGTGTGGTTTCCGTACGTTTTGTTTCTGCGCGATGACCTACGCTTGCTTAGTTCCCCGAAGCCAGCCACGACCTGCTATGTCGAATGCTTACCAGTGCTGACCTGCAATGCTTCCCAAGCCAACGACGATCTAAGCTGGCCCAAGTAGGGGCGACCGGGATCTGAACAAAAACGATTAAAAACTCACCATCGCTGCAACGAGCGGCAGCAAGAAAGATGTTTCGGTCGGCTTCAATATGCACCTAGAATCGTCGTTCCGCTGTGGCAAAATGCAGGAACAAAGGGGCACATTCACAGTGCTTTGCAAGGGCCAACTTGGCCATGCCGCCCATGAAAACCGGTAATCCCTGCGTCTGTTTGCAAATTTCTACTGAAGTCCGCAGCGCCTTAGAAATCCAGGGTCTGTTGCGGCGTTCGAACGCCATCACCAAGTTGTTGGCACCTTTCATGAAGCATTGGAGCGCGCTGGGCAGCGTAAGCAGCATGATGGGCTCCCTTCGGGGTCGGACGATCAATAAAATGCGGAAAATTCCCGACATCTGTGCAAATAGCAGCTCACGTTTGAACGCCATGCTCAACTTGATCGAGCATGAGGGCACCCGGACCCCCGTGCATGAGATAGTGAAGGCATTGGTTTCAAACGCTCAAGATGGCCTCCTCCCATCTGCCCCAGAACCGGACCTGAACCATCCCAAGACGTCCGCCTTTAACTCAAACTCTGGCAGAAGCATACCAGTGGTGCCGATGATGCACGCGGAAACTTGCACGTGGGCACCCGGCTTGTCGTAAGCACCATTCAGGTCAGGATGCTTCCAGAACGCACCGGCTGCCGCAGTTCGAGACCGCTTCAGGCAGCGCCCTCTTTCGGCCAGCAAGGGCCGTCAGCCTTAGAAGCGCCGTTCAGCCTCTGCATGCATCATGAGCACACTGGCCCACACACACGCAGGATTCCCAAAGCACGAGCTTTTTAACAGGATTGCGTGAGCCCAAGAGCGGGGATGTCGATGATTCGGTGCCGTTTTCGAGGACGACGCGTGGGCAGGCTGAAAACCGTCCCAAGCTCAAGTGATGCCAGCTGACGCAGGATCATGTGAGGTTCTTCGCCAGGCTGTGCATCAGGGGAGCGTCGCAGTGTTTCCAATGCCAGACGGGGTGCCAACAGGCAAAGGCAGAAAGAGCAAAATAGGGGCAATACGAGCTATATACTGTATATTTTATATATATATATATTATATATATATCTATCTATCTGTTTATTTATTTCTACTTTTTCATTCATTTAGTTGTTTTGCTTGTGGTGTGTGTATATATATGTATAGCGAAGAGAGAGGAGAGAGAGAGAGAGAGAGAGAGAGAGAGAGGAGAGAGAGAGAAGAGAGAGAGAGAGAGAGAGAGAGATAGAGAGAAAGAGAGATGGAGCGGGTCGGAATACAAGCCCGTGTGTTCTCGAATTAAACTAAGCTTTTGTTCGTGATTTTAAGACCTTTCAAAATATCGTATGAGTCTTGCATAAGCAGACCAGCAGACCCCTTTCAAGTGAACCATTTTCTCCCTGGAATACTCGACGCTCGTAATGCAGCAAGTGCCCCGCGCGCCATAACGTTCGGGCCTTTTTCTTTCTGGGGGGGGGGGGGGATTCGGGTTTCGGAGCAGGACTGGGTCATTTTTTTTGGGGAGGGGCGGGGGAGTTCGGGTTCGGGTACAGGCGCGGGTACGTTGGGTGGGGGGGTTCCCAGGATGATTTTTTCCCGGGAGGGGGGGGGGAGGTTCCGGTTCCGGTTCGGGTTCGGGTTCGGCTGAGGCTGGGGAGGGGCTGAGTAATGGGTTCCGGGCAATTTGTTTGGTTCCAGTTCGCATTTCGGTTTCTTCTAACTGGCCGGAAAAGAAAAGCTGCAGAGGACCTCTAGTCGACGCCGCAAGCCTGGACTCAGAAAGCCGTTGGCCTGGGCGAGAGCATCTTTGATGGTCTTTTGTCAACATTTGACCAAGCCGTACTGCCTGGGATTTGTGGAGCTTTCTCACTTCTGCTATCTCTTGCAGCCTCCACTTAACAAGTAAGCCAGTTGATCAGGCGTAGGCGCGCTGCCGAGTGCAAGAAAAGAGGCTCCGAACCTTCGCCAGCCTCAAGGCCCGCTTGAGGCTGACTGCGGGATGCTCTCGGTGTCCGGGTACGAACTGAGAAAGTTCATTTACAGAAATTTTCTAGCTGTCAGGCCCGCCTTGTCAACCTTGTCAACCTTGAACTCAGTTACCTTGAACTTGGCAGTGGCCTCAAGTGCTTGCAGGATTTGTGCCTGCAAAAGAAGCTAAGCGCGGCCCAATACAGAAATAATCAAGCTCTTTCAAAGAAGACAAGTGAGGGCGTGATATCGGAGACAGGCTGAGCTGAAGCTCTCTCTAAGCCTCTGACCAAGGCCTCCAAGTAGGCGACGTCTCAAGTGCAGCGGAGGAAATCATATAGGAGCCAAGCAGCTACATCTCGGGCATTCTAGGGCCCTAGCCACTGTAGCTGAAGATGCAGCGACTGGCGTCCAGACCACAGAACGTCGCAAAGTGCCCGAAGAGTTGCGAAAAATGCCAGACGAAGGCGACGCACGGCGAAATGCTGACAAGGCTGACGCGCGCCTAGTTGGCTTGGTCTTGGAATTTATGTAGGGGTCCCAGAGCTCCTGATCGTGGTCGCCAAAAGGATAAAGCTGATCCGAAGTCTGAAAAGACACATACGTGAAGAAACTTGGCACAAAGCCCCCCTGCTCTGAATGTAAGATGTCGGTACTGTGTCCCCCTCCTGTATGGTTTCTGCCTGCGCGAGCTTCTAGGGTGATGACTAGTGAGTAGTAGGCTGTCTGCCAGGCTACACTCAGCCAGGCCAATCGCTTCGCGGACGCCCCCCCCCCCACCCGACTCCCTTGCGACGCTTCGTCCACCAAGGTGCACCTCAGCAACCGTGTGCGTTCATCATGCACGAGACAGGTGAAAGGTTGAACCTCGTCGCTCGTAATGTTGTTGCTGGCAAGCTCCGGATTGCTGTGCGTAGTGCTTGGCCCGCGTGGGCCCTCAGTCGTCACCATGCGACGGGCAGGCGCGATGTTGATTCTGTCGACTGCTTCGGCAATGAGCATGCGCGGCGTTATTTTCAGACCAAACACATACTCTCCGAAGGGTAAAATCTGCCCTTGGTATGGTCTCCCGTAGACCAATTGGAAAGCTGTACTCTGCGTCCCTGAGTGTAGGTGGTACCTGTTGAACAACCATGCTGCGTGGTGAATTGCCCACGCTCGTAAAGCATGATCTTCAGGAATCTTTTCCCCAATCCGATCCTCGACCATTTCAATCATCGTGAGGCTTTGTCTCCTGAGGTTCTGAATGTGGCGTTCCACTCTCGCTGTTCTTCCTTTGTGGTAGGGCTTGTTTGGATACTTTCCAGCCTTGTAGCCTAACTTTTGTCGTATTGCTACAATCAAATCCAGTAAGGCTGTTGTCGCTGGCTCCACATCAATCGCAAACAGAACTTCGTCGCTGGGCGTTCTCGAGTCATGATGCGCGTACGCTATCTGTTGGTGCTTGGTCGCCTGCTTGGGTGGACGCATTGAAGCCGGGGACCCCCCGCAATCGCATCCGGCATCCTTGTGGCTTGTGGCTTTCATCCTCTAATAGAGCTTAGGTTGTTTGGGCGGTCCACTTACCTGTGGCTGGCTATGTCACGGAAGTCGAAGATCTCCGCTTGTAATTTACCTGTCAATTGGGGTACCTGCACTACAAAGTTTTCTATGCGCAGACAGTCTCGAGGTTCTATACACAAATATTGCCAAGCCTTCGGGAACCAGGGTCTTCACGACAAGGTCTTGGATTAAGTGCCCAAAGGCCATCAAACACCATACCAGCTCAGAAAGAGAGGCTTTGCGTGAGATATCCCCGAAATTACAGGCTTCAATCAGGGTAGTTCAGATTCCGAAGGCATGAGCCGTTCTTGAGGTCTATACGGAGCCCCCGACGCAGAAACCACGCCAAGATCTCACGAGAAGTCATACACGGTTTCAGTGCCCCCGCTGTGCACGCACACCAAGAAGCTGCTTCGAGTATACATGAAACAACAGTTCTGCTTGCTGGCTCTCATGTCCAGGGGAAAATACACTGAACAAAAACCAGAATCCCAGCCACCAAATTCCGGCCTTATCTCGGAAGCGTTGCGAGCACAAGATGATGCATTATCTGATTCCTCTACTCACATTATATCCCCTGCCTAGGGCCTGCACGGCTCCAACAAAGTGATGCACTGGCATTTCCCTGAACAAAGCTTTTATGCACCTGGGCATGAAGGTTTCGGACTTCTTGCAAATGATACATCGTGATACAAAACTGTGCTTGAAGAAAAGCCTTCATTGGGGTCATCTGAGTGCTTCACCTCTTCGAGCTCATCGGCCTTGGTCTCCGTAAGGGCCATTGCCTGGGCAGCTCGGCTTAGGACTCAGCACTCGGACATGCGGAAATGTCGGAAATCCGAGCTGCGGACACTTCAAGCGCGATGACCAGGCACAGACCTCCGTCTGCACAGTGAAGGTACGGCCTTGCAGTACTCGTAAATCTTTCGCCCTGTTTGCCACTTGATGCCTCTCGCCCAAAACCAAGACCGCGCGAAAAGATGGGGCCTAATTGCCCTTGAAAGACTTCGCCACCCTCGCCTGTCAGTCAGGCATAGTCAGGCAACATTCAGACATCGAACTTATCAGAAACCATCTCTGGCTGAAGAACATCCACGCCCTGGGTGACCCCATACGACACGCTAAACGCACAAACAGCCTGCTAGATATCCGATATCCTGTCACGCCAGCAAGCAGCTTCCACAATTGCCGTGACAGCAGACCTTTGTGGCGAGGAAGTCTGCTCCTCCACGGAATATAAAACTTTCACCTTGGCTCGCGCAAGTGTGCAAGATCACTGGGTCTGGGTTCTACTTGAAGCAATAACACGTGCCCATCTCCTACAAATCAGTGCT